GGGGGAAAGGGAATGGGTTTGGGTTAATTTAGGGGGGTTTAGGGTGGGGTTTGGGGTTTTTTTTTGCATATAACAATAAATACCGGCGGGTCGGACATGCAAGACATGCTGGTCGGGAGGGGGGCGCCTGGGGGGGGCCCCACCCCCAAACTGCCGCCCCCCAGGGCCCCCATTCCCCCCCCAGTGCGGTGGGGGGAGCAGGTTTGGGGGGGTCCCGGCCCCCCCCAAAGGGCGCAGGGCCTGTTTTGGGGGTTCTGGCCTAGTCCTGTTACCACGGAAACGCAGCCTGAGCTTGCAGTGAGAGCTGCGGCCTAGTCCTGTTACCATGGAAACGCAGCCTGAGCTTGCAGTGAGGACATTGGCCTAGTCCTGTTACCATGGAAACCCAGCCTGGCCTCAGAGTGAGGGTTCTGGCCTAGTCCTGTTACCATGGAAACGCAGCCTGGCCTCGCAGTAGTGCTCAGGCCTAGTCCTGTTACCATGGAAACACAGCCTGAGCTCACAATGAGGGCATCGGCCTAGTCCTGTTACCACGGAAACGCAGCCTGGCCTCACAGTGAGGGCTCAGGCCCAGTCCCGTTACCATGGAAACGCAGCCTGGCCTCACAGTAGTACTCAGGCCTAGTTCTGTTACCATGGAAACGCAGCCTGAGCTTGCAGTGAGGGCATTGGCCTAGTTCCATTACCATGGAAATGCAGCCTGGCCTCACAGTGAGGGCTCAGGCCTAGTCTTGTTACTATGGAAACACAGCCTGGCCTCACAGTAGTACTCAGGCCTAGTTCTGTTACCATGGAAACGCTGCCTGAGCTCGTAGTGAGGGCTACAGCCTAGTCCTGTTACCATGGAAACGCAGCTGCCTGGCCTAGTCCTGTTACCATGGAGCTCACAGTAGACCTCAGGCCTAGTCCTGTTACCATGGAAACGCAGCCTGTCCTTGCACTGGCAGCTAGGGCCTAGTCTTGTTACCATGGAAACGCAGCCTGAGCTCGCAGTGAGGGCATGGGCCTAGTCCTGTTACCATGGAAACACAGCCTGAGCTCGCAGTAGAGCTCAGGTCTAGCTGTGTTACCATGGAAACCCCATCTGGCCTCACAGTGAGAGTTCGGGCCCAGTCCCGTTACCACGGAAACGCAGCCTGAGCTCACAGTGAGGGCTCAGGCCCAGTCCCGTTACCATGGAAACACAGCCTGGCTGTGGCCTAGTCATGTTACCATGGAAACGCAGCCTGGCCTCACAGCGAGAGCTGTGGCCTAATCCCGTTACCATGGAAACACAGCCTGGCTGTGGCCTAGTCCTGTTACCATGGAAACGCAGCCTGAGCTCGCAGTGAGGGCATCGGCCTAGTCCAGTTACCATGGAAACACAGCCTGGCCTTGCAGTAGCACTCAGGCCTAATCCTGTTACCACGGAAACGAAGCCTGAGTTTGCAGTAGCGCTCAGGCCTAGTCCCGTTCCCATGGAAACGCAGCCTGGCCTTGCAGTAGCGCTCAGGCCTAGTCCTGTTACCATGGAAACGCAGCCTGGCCTCGCAGTGGGGCCTGTTTTCCCCCCCAAAAAATTGTCATCCCCTTCCCCCCCCCCATTTCGGGGTGACAGTGGGGACAGAGGGGACGCCCGGGCGGGGCCCGGCCCTACCTCCACCGTCGTCCTCCGCCATCGGGGTGTCCGGAGGCTCCAGTTATTGCTTGGGGAGGGTGTGGGGAGCCCGGGGAGGGAGGAGGGGACACACATGGGGGGGGACACGGGGCGAC